AGCAGGAAACACCAGTCAGACACCAACCTTGATTTTCTCAAGAGAGTATCACTCACAGGAACAGTCTCTGTTAACTCTCTTAGCAGCATCATTTTGCTCTTCAGGACACTTAAGACACTTGCAAATCCCAATTAGGACCAGACAACACTACCTTAGTGGAGGTGAAAAACACAACATGGTGGTACCCAAAGAGCTCTGTTTTCATGACTCTACAATATTGCAGGACGAAGGTCTTTGGTATCATCACAGCTTCACAGGGGGATAACTGCACTTGATTTCCGAATCGTAGTTTCATCTGGGTGGCCAGGAACTGTCCAGCAGAGGCCACATATGCAAAGTGCTGTATGCTTGACACAAGATGCAGCTATTATACCTGCAACCCAAAGCACAAGCAGTTCCCAGGCAGGATGATAGAGGATCAATGACATTTTTTCATCTAAAGTTCACAGATTACTACCTCTAGTCCTGTCTCATAAGAGTGAAATCCAAAACCCTGAGATCAGTGTGAACAAGTCTAACACATCTACAGTCCAGTGTTCTCCGAGGGGTCACCCTGACTCTTCCAGTTGCTTCTTCATAAACTAGAAGTTAAAAACCAGGATTGCCAGGAGGAGGGGCAGGATTCCTACAAGAAACAAACAAGAAACTTCAGTCTTCACTCCAAATATATTTGTTTACTCTTTGCCTCCCCACTCCCACACAGACAGTACCTTTAGCATTTTCTCCTCTTTTCAAAGGATGATCATAAAGCAGCAAAAATATAAATATGACAAGTGTGGAAAGCTCATAGGCCTATTCCAGGCTTAAGCAGAATGTACATAATTTCTTACGAGACAATAACTTAAAATGGGGCAGGCAGTGTGGTTAAGAGGGACTTCAGAGAACACCGTGATGCTATCAACACGATAATGCTCACAGCACAGCAGCCAACACTTTCTGCTGCTTCCAGGGGCTGTTGTGAGCAAGAGGGGAAGCACAGGCAGCTGGAGAACAGTCGCTCACACTGCTATGGGTGGCATTTGCTGTCATTACGATACACGTTTAGTACGAGCACTGGACAGCATGACAGACCAGTCGTGCATCGCCCATGCATGAGACTCAGGAATTTTTATTACTCACCAGCAATGATCTTGTTAGCTGCACCTGGAAAAGAAGGGAGCAAAATGTGAAACTGAACACTCACTAAGCACATGCAGGCTGTTTCAGGAAGTTTTGGAGGCTTATTCCTTAAGTGAATATGTCATTTGAGGATGTGCAAAAGAAGCAGAAGCATAGATTTTCCCAAGAAAGAAGAGACTGCAAGATAGATAGAGGAGACAGTCACCTCTGCATTGAGGAGTAGGCTTGCTCCAGACTCCATGAGATTCATCTTCCACTGTACAGTGGATAGAGGCTTTCCCAATAAGGGTGAAGCCGTCATGACATTTATAGTCCACAACAGAGCCATAAGGAAAGCTGCTTTCCCCTCCGCCGTTGTGCATCCCATGGTCAATCGTCGGAGGCGGTCCACAGGAAACACTGAGGGGCTCTCCTACAGGAGGAACAGCACCGAGTGTCTGAGCACTTGCCTAACTGAAAAGGCGGCTCAGGGGTGTGGGAAGGAGGTACAGCCAACCGAAACACATCTAGAAACACCTGAAAACACTGGACCTCAACCACTGCCTATGAGCCACAGCTCCACGATACCTCTCCATGAAACAGGCCACTGAAACACCTAATCAGACTGCTTTGCGCTGCTCTTCTCTGGCTCCCTCCAGTTTGTCACCATGACTTTTGAATTGCACAGAATATTCCAGCTCACAGAACAAGCTAGTATTGAAATTTGAATTTTACAGCAGCTCCAAGCACAAGTAAGAACAGACCAAGCTCCCCAGCAAAGCAGCTACACCCCAAGAGCTCCAACCATTATCTTTGTAGCTCTGGGCACAGTTCCTCTTACTTTCACAGGTTGGAAATGCCTTATTCCAGCCAACTCCATTTCCTGAAATTTCACATGTGGCAGAAGATGGCCCATTTAATTTAAACCTGAAGAAAAAGAGAAAGTTTTACAATTTTCATAAAACTGCCCAGAAAGGGTTCTTTGTCCTCTCTGCTACCATGGCATGGATACAAGAACAGAAGTTGCTCCTGCAGTGAAACAGTATCTGGACCACCAAAAGCTATTGTAAAGCAGCAAACAAGGGCTGCCCTGCCCTGTCCAGCAGGGAAGGGTCTAAATTTCCTGAAGCTTTAGCAGGAGGGATACCTCACCGGCGTCTTGGCAGGAGGCACAGGAATAAGCCCCAGTCTAGGAGAGAAGGAACCACTGCCTCCTTTTCTTGGTAAAGGATTGAAGCGCATTTGCTTAAACCCCCAGACCTGGGACAGCTTCCCGGGCTTCTGTCGAACATTGTCTGGGGTGCTGGTGACCTCCCAGAGCTCAGAAGAGCTGTATCCCACCCATGCACCAAAGCAGCTCGGTGTGTTCCAAATCACCCGCAAATTGCCACACTCGCTGGTCTCCCTGGGGACAGAACAGTTTTCCTGGGCACTTGTACTGGGACCTGGTGGGCAGAGGTTCTGCTTGTCCATGAAGTGCATCCTGATCACCGCTCCCAGCCTTCAGCTCCGTCCCTGTTAGGTAGCCATCCACTCACCCAGGATTACAGGTGAACGTCACCGTTGCCTCAAACTCGAAGCTGTCTCCTAATACTTTCCCATCCTTTATTTGGGGAGTAGAACATTGCTGTCCTGGAGGAAAAGAAACCGACATGGGAATTACTTCATTTGTCTTCAAAGAGTGATGCCAAGTGATGGCTCTTAATCAGACTGACACGACCGAGACTAAGACCACGGCCAGGTTGGCCCCTGTGCCAAAACCCAGCGGCCCTGAGACCCTGGGGAGGACCCTGCCCCGCTCCCCGGCGGAGGAGCCTGCGCTGCAGCCTGGCAAGGAACAACGGAGACGGCAGCAACCGGTGCCAGGCACCGCGCGGCTCGCGCCCGGCTCAGCACATGCCTGGAAAAGGCAGGTTCTTAAACCAATAAACCTAAATAAGGAGCTAAATAAGACTCCTATCACAAAGCAAACATGCAGCACACAATATGCGAGAGGATATGCCATTCCTGCAGCACTGCAAGAGCTCTTCCAATACCTGTATGAGGTGTCTTGCTAAGAGCAATTTTGTCTGTATTACCAAGAAAGGGCCAAAGTTTTTGCAGACCACACGTTGTCGACAGTAGTTTTAATACTAATCAGTCAGTGTTATTGTGGCAATATTACATGTCATTATTTCAGTGTTTCTCAGTAACTGTGATTACAATCTAAGCTTGCTTTATTTCAGCAGTTATGCTCTGGAAGTCAATAGGGAATAGGAACCAGCAAGAAATACAAAGCTCCATGGCCCAGTCTCACCACTACCTCTGACTGTCCTCAGAACACGCCTTGCTAAAAGGAGAAAAAAATGATCTGCAATTACACTCAACTGTAGGTGCATCTTGAGGATCACTTAGTATGAACACACGAGCAAATTCATCTGAGTGATGTGGACTTGGAGGCAGAACTAAGCTGTTCTTCAGTTTGTTCAGAAAACAAAGCACTTGGTCTACACACACGTGATAAATGTGTGCCTAAAGGCAAGCAGACCTTGTTCTAAGTTTATCAAGCAGACCAAAATGCTAGATTTACCCCCATACACTTTAAAGAGTTCAGGAAGAAATTTCCAGGTGTGCCAGCACAGAGATGGGCATGAACAAAATTTCAGAGTCAGTAACACCTTGAGCGTGTAAGGCCACTGGTAGTAAAGACAGGGCAGGAACAGGGATACTCACGTGTGCAGAACTTGGAGTCTGCAGACCAAGTTGCATTTGTCAGACAAGTAACGACAGGAGACTTGCCACTTGCTGCAGCGTAACCTGGTTTACACGTGTAAGTCAGCTGAGTTCCAACAACATACTGGCTGCTCACGGCGCCTGCTAATCCGGCAAAAGTGAAGCTTGGAGGAGCACCACAGGAACCTGCCAATGGGAGGCAAAGGCAAAGGTAGCTGCAGAAGAACACCCAGAGGGTCTCCAGTAACAACAAGCCAACTGTTTGGGAGCACACATCCTTTTAAACGTTTTGATTGCCAGTGTCCTGGATCCAGTTTGCATTTAGTGAACAGCAGCATGCATTACAGCTCACATAACTGGAGACAAGATGCATCTTGAGCAGCATCTCTGCTTCTGAGATGCTACTTTGCTCAACACCAGCCCAGTTTGAAGCACCTGGACTCAGCAGAGCCCACAGGTCTGCAAACTGGGGTGCAGGAATAGCATCAGGCATAGGAAGGCCCACCTCTCCTTTCGGTACACTTTGGGTCATTTGCAGTTCGCAAAAGCTTCATGTCTAAATATACTAGTGCCGTGGGCTCCACTGCACGGGCTCTTAACCCCGCACAGCCTCCAGGGCACCCAACACACAGCGGGTTTGGATCTCATCTACTGAATGGCTCCTACACTGGTACTTACGTGGGTCGCAGAGCGGCAGGGGCGGCTGCCACGTGCTGTTGGCTTCACAAATAACAACACTGCTCCCGTTCAGAAGGAAACCAGATTTACACTGAAAAGTGACTGCGTCTTTATATGTGTACACAGGGCCAAAACCAGACACCTTCTCCCCGTTTTCCACTTCTGGATTTTGACATCGGACCACTGGAAACAAATCAAGTCAAGAAGAGGATTTGTTATAGGAGGGAAAGGGCCAGCACCGCGGCATTATGTGAGAAATGCTCTTAGCAGAACTGCCTCTATGAGAGGCTTTTCAAGAGCTTTTGAGAACTGGAACCTTTTGAATAAGTAAATCATTTTCATTTACATTTGCTAGAATATGAAGGCAAGATAAGCATGGTTGCTGCTACAGGGACTGTGCTGCTCCAGGTGTAGCACACTCTTCTGCAGTGAAATGTTGCCTATTCTAGATCAATCTCAATTATAGAAGTGGCTTTCCATGGGCAGAAGAATCTGGTAAACCAAGCCCTGTCTCTGACCACAACTTGGGAGATCACCACATTAAGCTTTTGGGAATCATTTAAAACGCAGATTAACTTCTTATGGTTGTCATTCCATCTAGAAAGCAGAGTTTCACATGAAAGAGGCAAGAGAAATGAAATCAAAAGAAAATGGAGAGAAAGAAAACATTTACCTTTGCATTCAGGGGCTGGACCACTCCATTTTCCATTCAAGTTATCGTCTGATGTACAGTAAATCGTGGGCTCTCCAATGAGAGTAAAGTTTTGGTGACAGCTGTAAGTAACAGTGGAGCCAAAGGTAAAGCTTCCCTCATCAGCAGTGAACTGCCCATTTGCAATTGCAGGAGGGGGCTCACAGGGAATAACTGTGGGGAAAAATAGCAGAAAAATGCACTGATGTTTCCATTAAAATACAAACCCCAAAAATCTCTGTCTGACCAAAAGGTATTAACAAAAGCCGAAGAAAAAGCAGGGAACATGTCCAAAAGCCACCCTTTCAAACTGAAAGTTTCGAGTGCTCCTTCAAATTCTGAACGTTTTCCAGGTTTTGAAATGGGTGAATGGTGTAACAGCAAACAGCACCCTTTGCCCGAGGAGAAACGCAACACAAGCAGTGTAGCTTGCAGAGCCAGGAGAGGGAAGCAACCTGCCCTTCCTCAAACTCTCCACAAAGCAGCCTCTTACTTTCACAGTGCGGAATCTGACTCCAGACAACGTCAGTGCCATCAAGGATACACTGTGCAGTTTCATCCCCAATGAGTCGGTACCTAAGGAAAGAAAGGGTTGAATCTCTTTAAAAAGACAAAGAGTGAGAAAAAATGGGAAATTCAACAAGTTTTATCGTTTCTAATGGCTCTGAACCTCCTCTCCTGGCTCTTTTCCAAGGAAACCACTCCAAGGCTCTGAGTATCCCACTCTCACAGGTGCTGCCCACTGGCCTGAGCTCTCCGGACCAGCCCCGGACCCGGGCAGACACTCACCCTGTGTTACAGCTGAAGTGAACTATCCCTCCAAACAGGAAATTGGCGTTTTCATCAATTTTGCCATTCGGTATTTCTGGTGGACCGCAGTTCTTTCCTGGGGGACAAGTGACCGGCATGAGCTGCATGTCAGGCTGCTGGGATGAGGGGTTGTACCACCCTTCAGGGTTCTTATGAACCTGCCCGTCCTCGCTAGCAAGGACCAACGCTTTTAGAAAAGTTTAAGATCCTCATTAAACTCTGAGGAACTGGTAGTTACATACAGCGAAGGGCAACAATGGAGCACAGATTCATGGGCATTTACACACTTAGTGAGACCCAGCCAGCTCAGCACAGAGGCCCCTTCCCGCGGCGAAGGGAGGGCAGAGACCCCCTCCACCCGCCCATTGCCAGGAGGTGACAGATGCCCTTTCCCTGTCCCGCTTTGCTTTGGCCCAAACACGCGGCCGCTCTCACACCGCAGCCCTTTGCGTCACCACGTGGTAAAGCCTGCTGGTAATTAAAGGGAATCACCGGGCCCCAGGGCGCGCGTGGGACACGGCTGCGGGGACACCCCGGCGCCCGGCCGGTCACGCACCGATGCAGAAGTTGCTGTCCCAGGCCCACGTGGAGTTCTGGCACACGGTGTAGAGGTGCTTGCCGCTGGCTGGCGTGTACCCGGGCCGGCACTGGTACC